GTAGCCTACACACTATATCGGAGTTAAAAGTTATTTTATACTTAGCAGTGTTCGTTGCTGGAAAAACTTGGAAACAGCAACCACCAGCATGTCTGAAAAAGAGAAAGGATGACCATCATCTTGGCTTTAACTCTCAACACATCTAGCCTGGCTTAGTTAGAAGCCCACTCACCACGTCAAGGTGCAGGCTCAGAGTGGGTAGACAGGACAAGACAAACGTAACAAACAGACGCCACAAACAGACAACACTGAACAGGGAACTACACTAACATTTTCCACTGGTGGGACTTGCGCTACTAACTTTTTCAGTTACTAGCGCAAAACATGATTTGGTCGCACAAATTATTTATATAGTAAGCCGCTCTGGATAATAATGACCAATAGTGAAACTGTATTGCATACAGATGTGCTTTTTATTTTACTCTCCATCTTTTAAAACACATGCCTTCTTGTTTTCTTTAAAAATGGTTGGGATAGATTTACTGCAATAGAAAATACAGTAGCCTACACAATAAAGTGCTAAATTAATTTCTTTTGGATTTCACCATGCTATGGTTGGCACAGATGGGCAGACTTCTGAACTCTTAAGGAAAAGTAAAATAAATATAATATGTCATTGTGAAGCTTCAATGATTCGTGTTTGAATTGTTTTGACGCAGTTACAAATTTGGACAGTCCTGCAATTGAAGGCCCACAGAATTTACAGTAGGGCTGCACGATATTGGTAAAAAAATGACATTGCGATATTTGATTTTTCTGCGATATATATTGCGATATAAAAACAATTTCACCAGATGACTTGAATAGCTCTACTTGGAAAGAATGAATCATTCTAGAATGACTCTTGAGTTCAGTGTTGGACAGATCAGTTGTTATTTTAACCATTCATTAAAGTGAATCGGTTCAAAGGAGTCAGTTCGCGAATCGGACGTGTCATTAACGGACCACGGCACACGTTGTGTGATTATCCAGGCAGTTTAGGACATCGCACAAGATTTGTCTCAACACAGAAAACATTTCATCACCAGATAGATTTTTTGTTTTGTTTATTGAAAGAGTGGTTTATGCCATCTGAATGTGTGGAAAGCTTTTCAGAGAAGATGAGGCAACGTTATTTTAGCACAATTCACAACCAGTGGTAGTTCAGAAAAAAAAAAACTTCGGTCTTCCGACCTTTTACCATCGTGTATTCTCAAAGATATTCAGTCAACTCAATTCATTATTATGAGCGAGGGAGGGAGAGAGAGCGCGCGCGCGACTGGGGCTTTCACTCTCTCTGCTCGTTCTCTCAGTTAAACAAGCGCGAATCCGCGAAGCCAACTTGATGTGTTGAATGCTCAGAGCGCGTTATAAAACGTATTCTTAAAATACACATTTCTGTTTTAATAAATGCTCATAGTAAATCATAGCATATTGCCTAAAACATTAGGTAGGTACAAAAATAATCAAACGGTGATACATTTGCGACCCATTAAAAATTAGGGTCGCAATGGCATTTCAAAAGGTCGCAGTGTAGTTCCCTGACTGAAACATCTGAACATTTGAGTGTAACATTTGAACAGAACGTACTGTATAATCACAAAAAATAACAGTTTAACCTTAAAACTTCATATAACTTGTTGATAGCATTTGAGTAACAGTGAACAAAAATATGTCACTGACAGTGAAAATATGTTTTTTCTTATGTGCGTGTAAAGGCAGGTTCCCAAAGCAAATGCTTATGCCCCGTTGATGCGGGCTCTAAGCAAAGCCAGTGTGAGCGGTAAAAAAACTAAAGGCAGGTTCTCAAAGCAAATGCTTATGCCCCGTTGATGCGGGCTCTAAGCAAAGCCAGTGTGAGCGGTAAAAAAACTAAAGGCAGGTTCTCAAAGCAAATGCTTATGCCCCGTTGATGCGGGCTCTAAGCAAAGCAAGTGTGAGGTGGCATGTTCAAACTGTCCAGTATTTTACCTCACCTTCAAAATCTAAAGGACCCTGGTAATTTGCCATCATGCAACAGCAGGACCACATCTGATTCACTGTGCCTGCCAAGGTGAGGGGAATTGGGCAAACCCAAATGTGGTACTCTTTTACCCGCCTAATCACACGTTCAACCAGGATGCGGAGTCTGGCTATGGCCTGGGTTCTCTCTGTTTCCTCTCTGCTGAACTGGTCTCTATGCTTGAAAGGTGGAATGATTAGTTTTGCCCCAACAACCTCCAAAAGCTTTCCAATAAGGAAGCCCTTTCTGCCATAACCTCATCACCTGGCTCCAGTAAGTCCAAGATTCCTGACTGCCTTGTCAACTCCTTATCAGAGATAGAGCCAGTGAACAACTTTGATGCAAATGTAATTGCACCACAGGGTGCAACTCCAATCAAAGCTTTGAAGGTGGTATGGCTCTTGTAGGTTGAGAATGTTTCAGAGTGAAGGGTAATTGCCTCTGGGCTCTCACATCTGAATTCTGTGCAGTCAATAATGACCCTCACATTTGGGCAGTACTGCTGAAACTTCACAGGCATTGTTCGTCTCACCTGTTCACGGGTCATCCATATTTGAATGGATCCCAATTCAAGGTACAAGTAGTTTGCCCATGTGATTACAATGCGACTCACTGTAGAAGTGCTCACCCCAAATATCTCAGCTAAAACTCTCTCTCTAAGGCCGACAGCAACCCGCAAGCAATACATGAAAAACTCATCAATGAGTTGCATCTTACGCTGGGGGCTTGGCTTCACGACCTCTTTCTCTGCAGTTGAAATTCCAATCCTCTTGGCTTTGGACCAGTACACAATATTGGATGCAGAGGGCTCAATAGATCTCCAGAAAACCATAAAAATGTTTTTGGATGAGAACCTTGTGAAATACCTGAAGTCTTCATCAGACACACACCATCTATCCAGCAAAGATCGGGAGATGGTAAGCCTTGACACCAGTTCTTCCAGCTCCTTTATTTTTTCCAGTGCCTCATCAAGAGCACCTAATTAGAGAGAACAAAATAAAACTTACTTTTTTGGTGTTAAACATGACACTTTATCAATAGAGGTGGAAAAAACTTATTCATTTGGTAAATTGCAATTACATGTTTATGCAGTTATAAAACAGTTAAAACATCACTGTAAAAATTTTATTCACCCCAACAGCCTCACATACCATTATTTATTTAGTTCTGTTTAATCAATTGTTCAAATTGTCTCCATTGTTGCAGATTTAATAATAATTTAATAATAAATGGGTGTCAGAAAGACAAAAGAGACATGCAAAATATTGGGGGTCCTCTGAGCTAAACCACAGAATGCAGTAAAGGGGCTGACAAGAATAATGATGATTTATCGTGCTATCGGAATGATCGTAAATACTAGTTTTCTAGTTTAAAAAAAAATGGAGACGAACGCCATCACAAGTTAAAATTTGAATGCGATGAGCTCGTAGTCACAACTTCAGAAGAGGGAAGTAGGATGTTTCCGATGGCACGTAAAGGCAGCAAAAAATTACCAGTAATAGCTATATTTTAAATCGTGGTATTGGTTTGCACTCTGCACCAGACCATGCTAAAAAAATTAAATACAAATTCATCTTACTAACATGCTCCACTGCTAGCATAACTGCTACTATATGCTACAGCAATTTGATAAAATCTAACATATTGTATTGGATAACAACATGTTACACTCACCCGGGGGAGGGCGGCTGTCGTAATCGTGCTCCTGCACCAGCAGCGCGGCATCAGCACTCTCCACTTCTGCTTCCTCGAGTACACAACAGACACCTCTTTTTGCCGTCAGTGTCTGGCGTAATTTAACTTCTCCCCAGTTGTTCCAGGAAAACCGGGAAGGTACGGCCAGCGGTGTAAGATAATTACGACCGGACTCTCTAACACAGACTTCGTCCTCCGTGAAGTGCTTAGCACACAAAAAAGTACTGCCTTTCTTCACTGTGAACGTCGGCCCCTCCTCTCTTCGTATAGTCCAAATCCAACGCCTTTTCAACATTTCATCGCAAGGAAAGCTGTGAAATGATAAATAGGGTTGTTTCTTTTTCGAGTTGAAACATAAAGGTGCGCAACAGGTCTGACTGCTTTTAGATTCCGCCATTGTTCTCCGACTGCTGCTGCTGCTGCTAGCGCTATCACCGGAAAAGAGTTTACCCTACTTCCGGTCTCGGCGGCCATTTTTGTGAAATAGGCCTATTAGGACTTTATCTGCAGCCAGTGCAAACTCTGATAGAAAATCAGCAAATTCTTTGATAAAGTCTGTATGGTGGCCTGTATACAGTAGCCAGCACAAATCTCAAACGTGATTTATCATTTACACTAGATAACGTTATATATCATGTTTTATATATATACATACATATATATATATATATATATATATATATATATACATATATATATATTAATATTCACATATACATACATATATATATATATGTATATGTGAATATTAATTCAATATGTAAATAATTAACCATTGGTCTTCAATAGTATCATACATTTGTAGAACACAGCCACGGGTGGTTTACATGCACCTTGCAGAATCTGCAAAATGTTTATTATTTTAACAAAATAAGCTAAAGATAAGCTAAGATGAAATTAATGTTTTTTTTTGTACTGTCCTGAATAAGACATTTTACATAAAATATGTTGAAATTACTGAATTTATAAAACATTTTTACCCCATTCAAAAGTTTACATACCCTTGATTCTTAATACTGTGTCGTTACCTGGATGATCCAAAACTTTTTTGTTTTGTGATGGTTTTTCTCGAGTCCCTTGTTTGTCCTGAGCAGTTAAACTGCCATATGTTCTTCAGAAATATTCTCTTGGTCCAGCAAATTATTTCGTTTTCCATGCAATATCTTTTGCATATTTGAACCCTTATTCACAATGTTACTCATACTGGTACATAAGACACTATTTTTCTAATAGGATTGGGAACAATTGTATTAACCCCTGGAATCAATTGGGAACCTCTGTAATTAAACTCAGGTTAACTTGTATTTCTCTTTTTTTCCCTCAGACCTGATGCAGCTGAAAGAAGAGAATGAAGGACTGAATGAAATGGAAGAGAAAGATCAGTATGAGAAACATTGTGATTTCATAAATGGAGACAAATCTTTAAGTTGCTCAGGGATCGAAAAGGCTTCCCCTCGAAAAAGAGGCCAAAAGACAGGAGCTAGAAGTAATGTCAAATGCCAACAGTGTGGAAAGAGTTTTGGTAAACATGGATACATTAACATCCACATGAGGATTCATACTGGAGAGAAGCCTTACTCCTGCCAACAATGTGGAAAAAGTTTCACTCAAAAAGGAAGCCTTAAAGTCCACATGAGAATTCACACTAGAGAGAAGCCTTACAAGTGCAAACAGTGTGGAAAGAGTTTCAATGAAAAACGAGGCCTTAAAATCCACACGAGAGTCCACACTAGAGAGAAGCCTTACACCTGCAAGCTGTGTGAAAAGTGTTTTACACATAAACAAACCCTTGATTTCCACATGAAAACTCACACTGGAGAGAAGCCTTACACCTGCAAACTGTGCGAGAAGAGCTTCTTACGAAAAGATAGTCTTGAGAATCACCTGAGAATTCACACTGGAGAAAAGCCGTTTGTATGTGCTCAGTGTGGAAAAGGTTTCAAACGTAAAGAAACACTTAATTCCCACATACGAATTCACACTGGAGAGAAGCCTTACCCTTGCAAACTGTGTCCGAAGAGCTTCTCACAACAAGGAAACCTTATGACCCACATGAGAAGTCACACAGGAGAGAAGCCATTCGTATGTGGTCAATGTGGAAAAAGTTTCAGCATTAAAGTAAACCTTAATATGCACATGCGGATTCACTCGAGATAAACTGTTTTAAATGTCATTAATGTGGAATGAGTTTCATAAAAGAAAACCTTTCAAAATATGTATCTGTGAAATTTGTGTATCTATGTTCACACTGCAACTGAATGTTGGCCAAATCTGATCGTCCACCTTCTTGAATACTTATTTTATTTGCATACATTGCTTATATTCATTATACCTTGACTTTAGGCTTTTTCTTTTCTTTCTCTTTTCTTTAGTCAAATATTGAACAATTTCATTTTGTCTGGCGACGTCGCTCCAATATTGTATATTGACACCTCAAAAACAAAAAAATTAGTTTACTATGAAATGTTACAATATGAATGAAAGATTGCACGTTTTTAAAAAGTCGTTTGTGTTCATTATTGTAGTACTTTTATTCACTGTACTGTGAAGTATTCTCACCGGTGAATGACACGATGTAATAACGTTGTCTCTGGTCGTCTCGCTTCTGGTCTGTGCATGTGTTTTGGAGGAAGCGTGGCTTTGGATGGCAATTTGATGGGAGGGTAGGAAGCTTCCAATGCTAGCAGGCTAAAGTTAGCATTTCCCTGATCACCTATGGCACCTTTAACCCTTGTGTTCTGTTCGAATTCTGTGTACTCCCCTTATGGACCGGGTCAAATTGACCCTAATTGGATTCAATACAATTCCTCAAAAATCACACTATGAAAAACAACAAAGATTTAGATACAAACTGTAAACTTTTAATATCAGGATTTGTCAAACATTACAAAAACATTATGGGCTCTATCTTGCACTCGGCGCAAATGACTTTGTACACTGACGCATGTATCATTCCTATTTTGCACCCGCGCAAAGCGGACTTTTCCCTCCACAGACGCACGTCGGTTAACTAAGAAATACACTTGCGCTCCCCGGGGCGGTTCAGCGCAAAGAGGAGGCGTGTTCCGGCGCAAACTTTCCCTCATGCTATTTTGCTGTTCTATAAAACAATTGCGCCACTGACCAGAAAAAACCTAGTCTAAAGTCAGTGGCGCGTTGCGCGTTGTTCATTATGCTATTTTAAGCGCGCATGCTTGGCCATAATGTAGCGGGTGCACAACGCGCATACACTTTGATTATCTCATCAACACAGATGCAGCAGTTTTTATTTTTGCAAATCATACATTATAACAAGGAAAAATATTAACACATGAGGGAAATCATTGTGGTGTCCATGAAAATTTAGTTTTTTTTCCTCCCACGCCTGTTTAACCGACGCTGATTTGTATGGGGATGGGAGAAACCCACCCACGATAGATAGATAGATGGATAGATAGATAGATAGATAGATAGATAGATAGATAGATAGATAGATAGATAGATAGATAAGTCTGATTTGAACGTTGAATTTCTTGTTATTTCTGCATGCATTCTACTTCAGACAGTCAATAAACAGTGCCGTCTGAGGGTGTTTGCATGAGGGTTTATGCCATAGTTTACAGGTGCACGCAAAACACGCAATACAACGTCCACTTCTCTGTCTTTCACGGTCCTGACAAGAACGTCGGTCTCCTCGGCTGTGAACCGCTCCTGACGCGCGCCTGGTGAATCCGCCGTTATAATAGCAATCCGCCATGCAACATGCGCACCTGCTCTTAAAGGGAATGTGAGATGACGCTCTGATTGGTTTATTCCACGTTACGCCCAAACCACACCTATGAATAATGAAGCTACTTCAGACCAACCTCTTTTAGATTTGCGCCAGGCGCAAGAGGCATTTATCCCGCCGGGAAAATAGCAACAGCGCCGGGATCCGCCCACAAAGTCACTTGCGCTTTGCGCTTTGACACTTGCGTTTCAGATCGTGCGCTGGGTGCAAGATAGGGCCCATGATCTGAAAATATGATTTATGAAAATGTTTTTAAAACATTTTTTAAAACAATTTTGTTTTGACAAAATTGGAAAATAAACAGTATACTGATTTTTTTGCATATATTTTTTTTCCCTTTTTTTTTACATTTTATGCTTTGAACATCGTAACTGAACAGAAAAATAGCTGTATAATGAAAAATTTTCATTTTCCTAAGTTAACTTTCCCTAGTTTCCTAAGACCTATTTTCCTAGTTTCATTATTCACTCACTGGGAAGTGAGAAACCAAACATAACAAAAACATACATCAAATAAATGTTTTTTATTTATTTTTTGGCTCTGTGAATCTGCCTTTGAAAATCCTACATAAAAGTTTTGGTTAAAAGCTAGGTATTTTAGATATTTTGAATATTGAAATGAGAGGTTATTTTATTATCTGTGTCTGACACAGATTTTCATCTGTAATTTGCAAATAATTCTGAACACTGTAATTTTATCTTTTTCAAGTGTGTTTGGTTAGGGTTAGAGCACTTTTAGATGCACTTGCACGTTAGAACTGGAGTTGAAGTGCCCTGACATACAGAAAATAAATGTTTTTATTTTGTGTCTGTACAGTTGCTTTTGAATGGCTGCCTATGAGGGTCAAATTGACCCGCGAACATCACGAACGTAACAGTAATTTTGTTTGTATATGTCAAAACACATCAGCATGTTGAAACTTTGCATGCATGTTCATCATGATAAATGAGAAAAAGTCACAAAATATCAAAAAAACAAAAAAAACAAAGGTTAACCAGTATTTCCAACAACTTGAAAATCGAAACGGGTCAAATTGACCCGCAACATAACACAAGGGTTAAGGAATGTAGGAACTGGATTGTTCATAATAACCCTAACCCAGGAAAAAAAAATATAGAGAATGTATTTTTTCACTCAACTCCTTTACTAAACACCAGTAATACATAAAGACTTCACGCTGTTGTTGGATGGATCAAATTAAAATAGCATGCTTTTTAATGTATCTGACAAAGTTGACACAAATAAAGTTATAGAGTGAATAAATGTACATTTTTAATACCTGTTCCCTTACATGGTTAATTAACTGAGACCTTTGTCAACAAATATATCAGTTTATAATAATGTAATATTAAATAGTAACTAACTTCTAAATCACGTTTTGTCCCTAATCTCAAAAATAAGTGATGTACAGGTCCTTCTAAAAAAATTAGCATATTGTGATAAAGTTCATTATTTTCCATAATGTAATGATAAAAATTAAACTTTCATATATTTTAGATTCATTGCACACCAACTGAAATATTTCAGGTCTTTTATTGTTTTAATACTAATGATTTTGGCATACAGCTCATGAAAACCCAAAATTCCTATCTAAAAAAATTAGCATATTTCATCCGACCAATAAAAGAAGTGTTTTTAATAAAATAAAAATAAAAGTCAACCTTCAAATAATTATGTTCAGTTATGCACTCAATACTTTGTCGGGAATCCTTTTGCAGAAATGACTGCTTCAATGCGGCGTGGCATGGAGGCAATCAGCCTGTGGCACTGCTGAGGTGTTCTGGAGGCCCAGGATGCTTCGATAGCGGCCTTAAGCTCATCCAGAGTGTTGGGTCTTGCGTCTCTCAACTTTCTCTTCACAATATCCCACAGATTCTCTATGGGGTTCAGGTCAGGGGAGTTGGCAGGCCAATTGAGCACAGTAATACCATGGTCAGTAAACCATTTACCAGTGGTTTTGGCACTGTGAGCAGGTGTCAGGTCGTGCTGAAAAATGAAATCTTCATCTCCATAAAGTTTTTCAGCAGATGGAAGCATGAAGTGCTCCAAAATCTCCTGATAGCTAGCTGCATTGACCCTGCCCTTGATAAAACACAGTGCACCAACACCAGCAGCTGACATGGCACCCCAGACCATCATTGACTGTGGGTACTTGACAGTGGACTTCAGGCATTTTGGCATTTCCTTCTCCCCAGTCTTCCTCCAGACTCTGGCACCTTGATTTCCGAATGACATGCAAAACTGAGCAACAGTCCAGTGCTGTTTCTCTGTAGCCCAGGTCAGGCGCTTCTGCCGCTGTTTCTGGTTCAAAAGTGGCTTGACCTGGGGAATGCGGCACCTGTAGCCCATTTCCTGCACACGCCTGTGCACGGTGGCTCTGGATGTTTCTACTCCAGACTCAGTCCACTGCTTCCGCAGGTCCCCCAAGCTCTGGAATTGGTCCTTCTCCACAATCTTCCTCAGGGTCCGGTCACCTCTTCTCGTTGTGCAGCGTTTTTTGCCACACTTTTTCCTTCCCACAGACTTCCCACTGAGGTGCCTTGATACAGCACTCTGGGAACAGCCTATTTGTTCAGAAATTTCTTTCTGTCTTACCCTCTTGCTTGAGGGTGTCAATGATGGCCTTCTGGACAGCAGTCAGGTCGGCAGTCTTACCCATGATTGCGGTTTTGAGTAATGAAACAGGGTGGGAGTTTTTAAAAGGCTCAGGAATCTTTTGCAGGTGTTTAGAGTTAATTAGTTGATTCAGATGATTAGGTTAATAGCTCGTTTAGAGACCCTTTTCATGATATGCTAATTTTTTTAGATAGGAATTTTGGGTTTTCATGAGCTGTATGCCAAAATCATCAGTATTAAAACAATAAAAGACCTGAAATATTTCAGTTGGTGTGCAATGAATCTAAAATATATGAAAGTTTAATTTTTATCATTACATTATGGAAAATAATGAACTTTATCACAATATGATAATTTTTTGAGAAGGACCTGTATATATATTTCAGTTATATTACTACTTGCTATACTTGATCAAAACCTCCTTAGTGTCTTCTTTTTAAAGAAACCATGGCTAGGACTGTAGTCTAAAGCATTCATAAATCATACTTTTTAAAGGTACCTCATTAATTGTAATCATTTAAGTTTAAGAGTCTAGTTTTGTCACAGTCTTCGTCTGCACCTGTCTGTCTTAGTCATCTTCACTACACTACCCAGAATCCTCCTTGTCTCCACACCTGTACTCACTCCCTCATTATCCACCTGTCCCTCGTCATCATCATCTGTGTCACCTGTCTTCACCTCGTTAGTGTTCATTTGTCTCTGTATTTAGTTTGCTTCTGTTCATTCAGTCTTTGTCGGTCGTCGTCTATGTATAGTGGTATTAGTATGAGTTTTGTTTGCCTGCCTGTACCTGTTTTGAGTTTGTTATCAGTAAATGTTTAAATTGGAGCCTTCTTGCCTCAGACTCTTCTTCAACCCGCACCACAACCCTGACAGAACGACCGACCAAACAAAAGATGGACTCGGCGGGTCATACCCTAACAGACTACCTCATCAGGATCCTGTTTGAGAGAGGTCTCCGCATCACCATCA